AAACAAAAACAAAAATAAAACAAATGCTATTTCATTGAATTAATACTTATTTAGGATCAGTATCCGAAATTACATATATGTGCCAGCAAAAATAAACCAGTTCAATTTTTTTTGAACAATGCTAGGGTTGTTATAGACTAGTTAAATAACCTTGTCAAAAAGCCATAGTACTCATTAAATAACACAAATAATGAATTAAAACATACTAGCACAAGATAAATTTGTAAGATCACAAAGTAAGCACCAAGCGATTTCTGATATGTAGTGTACTAGTGTAATACAATATAGAATACTCACTTCTAATCTCATTAAACAACATTTATTTGCATATTCATCTAGTTTTGTCACCTTTTACAGTTTTGTCAGTTTTGTTACCTTTCAGTTTCATCACCTTTTGTCAGTATCATCACCTTTTGCACCTTTTGCCCAGTTTCGTCATTTAAGATTTTAAATGACGAAAAATGAAACTAGGTTTCGTGTTTCATTAGTGTGAAGCCTCGATGTTCGCCTAGCAAATATAAATATATAATAAAAATTACCATGAATATCAGAAAACAGATAGTGAGTAAGTATTGAATTGCTATAATGATAATAGCTTTTTATATTTCCGTAAACTGTTGTATTGTCGAAATCTGTTGTTTTGTTCTACCGCAACCTGTTTTTCTACCGTAACCTGTTGCCCTGTTATATTGCCATAATATGTTGTATTGTCATATTGCCGTAACCTGTTGTATTGCCGTAACTAGTTACGGCAAATGTCAGTTGCTATGACCTATGTCATTACGACACTTTTGACGTCAATTGGACGTAACCATACGTCTTCAAATGTCTGCATCGAGTGAAGTTGCACTTAGAGGGGTTGCACTGTGCACTTATGGTGTTTTACACTTATGCATGCATTATCTCAAAAACTAGCTAATTAATTGGTGCGTGTTCTGAGTATATCTCTCTACATACAGAGAGTTGATTGTATATATAATAAATTGTGACGCACATGACTATAGGTTTTACTGTAGCTAAAAAATGCCATTTCACTTTTTTTTACATATAGTAGTAAGCAATATCTCAGATATACTAGACCAATTTGAATGATTTAACCACTATTAGTATTACAACCAGAAAATCTTGCTTTACAACATTACTTATAAATTGAAGAGACATTTACTTAGTAGAAAAATGACTTCGCGAAGTGGCATTTGTGGCTTAGTCACAATTTACTACATATAAGAATTTTTATTAAGGTTAGGTGCAATTTTAGGATAAAGGGAGGAGGTTAATATAGATTAGATAAGCGATTTTAGTTCTCATAAGGTTTTCAGGATCCTGAACATTTTTACTTAGACACCGTAACTTTAATTACTTAGTACGTTTTTGAGATATAGCACTCCGGTGAGTATTAAAATCGTCCATAAAAATAATGTAATCTTACCTCTTCAAAAATATTAATAAATTTTGTGAACTGCCCCAATATTTTAAGTGTAATTACGCATGGCCGTGTACGCATTCGGTACCTACATATCGTATTCCATCTAACCAGGTTGCTAAAAATTTATCACCAATCTTTTGTATATTAACTAATCTATTAAAAGAAATCCACTCTATCATATCTTCATAATTCGTAGTTGTATTTTGAGTTATTCCATAAATTTTAAACTCATGATATTAAATTGTACGTAATCTATAAACTTAAAATAAAGTCATATATAGCAGTACAATAATAATTTAAATAATTTAGCTTACTTCTTTTGGCGGTTTAGTTAATGTTTTTACTTTATATGATGGTATACATGATTGTGTATATTCTTCATTGTATAAAAAATTAAGACATCATATTCCATTTAACTAAATTGCTAAAAATTTATTACCGATATTTTGAATATTATCTAATTTATTCAAAGGAATCTATTCGATTACATCTTTGTATTAGGCCATACAAATTTGATTACTTGGTTTTCATAACATGAAACTTTTAAATAGACCCGGCCGGCCGGCTTTT